CCCCCAGACCCTTTTTAAACACCCCCAGAGCATTTTTAACGCCCCCAGACCCACTTTACCCCGATTATTCCCTATTTAACCCCTCCCTGACGCCCCCAGACCCCTCCCAAATTCCCTTTTCTGACCCCCGACCCTTCCGAAACCCCAGTGACGTCACAGCGGCCGCAACACGTCACGTTTTCCCGCCGCCTTATGACGTCACGCGCCTCACCATCGCGCCGGCCGGCGACCCATGGCGGCTCCGGGCCTTGGGCACCTGCGGGGGGACAGAACGGGACGGGTTGGGGGCGGCGGGACCCCGAAAATCCCCAAAAACCGCGCCGGGCCCAACCCGGCCGCGCCCGCCCCTCACGCCCCGCACCGACCTCGCCGAGCGAAAGAGGCCGCGGGCGCCTGCGCGCCTCTTTTATAGCGGCCGCGCACTTCCGGTGCCGCCCCGCACTTCCGGCGGCGCTCTGGCCGCCCTGGAGGACTCCGCGGGCGGGAAGCGGAGGCGAGGCCGGGAGGCGCTGCCGGGGCCGAGGGGGCGGCGCGGAGCTTTGGGATCACGGGAGGCGTGAGGGGAGCGGGAGAAACGCGAGGAGCGCGCGGAAGGACGGCGGGAAGGGAGGCGACCATAGAGACGGAAGGAGCCGCTCTGGCCCTCTCGGTCACCATAGAGAGGAGAGGCGGCCAATGAGAGCGCGAGGGTGGAGGCGGCGCAGGCGCAGTGAGTCTTGGCTGCTGATTGGTTGCGCTTGGTGACGTCACCCTAGAGGCATAGCCCCGCCTCCAGCATTATTAATGAGGAGGGCGGTGCTTGAGCTGGGTCATTTGCATAATTTGCATAAAGGGGCGGAGCGCCACGGGTCGGCTTTTAGGGGCCGAAATTAAATCTGTATTAAAAAGATATTTATATAAAATATATCATATTTAATATAAATAAAAGTTATAATGGATGTGTATAAAATATACATAACGCATATAAAATGTTAATTAATTAAACATCTAATAAAATATTCATATGCCAATTTTGCTGCATGTTAAGACGTTAATTAGTTGTAATTATTATGGATCAATACAGGTTAATTAGATTGTTTATAGAAAATATAATTCTATAATTAATTAATCGAATAAATACTATCGATGATATCAATAAATATTATTAATTATATCAATGAATAATATTAATTATTCAATTATCAGAATTAATGACAGAAATTCCCACAAATTTATAGCGAACCCCCCCAAATTTACCCTCCCCTCCCCCCCTTTTATTCCCCCTCCCCCCAAAATTCCAATCCCCCCCCCAAATTCCCCTCCCCCACCCCAAATTCCCCTCCCCCACCCCAAATCCCCCTCCCCAAAAAAGCCCCCGGAGCCGAAATGAAGCAGAACGATTTTTATTGGGGGAGGGGCGGCGTCGGGACCCCCCCCCGGGGTGATAAAAAATTCCAATAAAATAAAAAAAAACGGGAAAATTGAGGGGGGGGGGGGGGGGGGGGGGGGGG